ACTTCTTCCAAGACAGATTTGTTCATTCTTCTGGCAGTCCTTGGTGTATTCAGTATTCTTCGCCAACACCGTAATTCAAAGGCATCAGTTCTTCTTCGGTCTTTCTTACTCATTGTCCAGCTTTCACCTACATATGATGAGGTGATTGAAAACACCATGGCTTGGGTCAGGGCAATTTAGTCCTTAAAGTGACGTCTTTGCTTTTGAATACTTCAAAGAGGTCTTTTGCAGCAGAGTTGCCCAGTGCAATGAGTTGTTTGATTTCTTGACTGCTGCTTCCATGGTTGTCAATTGTGGATTTAAGTAAAATGAAATCCTTGACAACTTCAGTCTTTTCTCTGTTTATCATGATGTTGCTTATGGGACAGCTATGAGGATTTTTGTTTTCTTTATGTTGAGGTGTAATCCATACTGAAGGCTGGGGTCTTTGATCTTCATCTGTAAGTGCTTCAAGTCCTCTTTGCTTTCAGTAATCAAGGTTGTGTCATCTGCACATCGCAGGTTGTTAACGAGTCTTTCTCCAGTCCAGACGCTGTGTTCCTCTTGATACAGTCTAGCTTCTCGGATTATTATATTGCTCAGATTGAATAAGTATGGTGAAAGGATACAAGCCTGACACACACCTTTCTTGATTTTAAACCACACAGTATCCCCTAGTTCTGTTCAAATGACTGCCTCTTGGTCTATGTACAGGTTCCTCATGAGCACAATTAAGGGTTCTGTAATTCCCATTCTTCGCAATGTTATCCATAATTGGTTATGATCCACACAGTCTAATGCCTTTGCATAGTAAATAAAACACAGGTAAACATCTTTCTGGTATTCTCTGCTTTCAGCCATGATCCATCTGACATCAGCAGTGATATCCCTTGTTCCATGTCCTCTTCTCTGAATCTGGCTTGAATTTCTGGCAGTTAAATCGACGTGCTATTGCAACCACTTTTGAAAGATCTTCAGCAAAATTTTACTCGTGTGTGACGTGAATGATATTGTTCGATAATTTCTGCATTCTGTTGGATCACCTTTCTTACGAATGGGCACAAATCTGGATCTCTTCCGGTTGGTTGGCCGGGTAGCTGTCTTCCAAATTTCTTGGCATAGATGAGTGAGCACTTCCAGCACTGCATCCGTTTGTTGAATCATCTCCGTTGGTATTCCATCAGTTTTTGGAGCATTGTTTTTCACCAATGCCTTCAGTGCAGCTTGGACCTCTTCCTTCAGTTTCATGGGTTCTTGATCATATGCTACCTCCTGAAATGGTTGAATGTCAAACAGTTCTTTTTGGTACAGTGACTCTGTGTATTCCTTCCATCTTCTTTTTATGTTTCCTGAGTTGTTGTAGATTAGGGTATAATAAAGCTTTAGAAGTCCTGGAGTTACTACCTATTAACATAATGCCAGTATTTGCAATGCGCTATAACCTTTTTAGAGTGAACACATAGTTCAAAGACTCTACTACTTTATTTGGAACAAATTTCTTCTGACAGACTCCGTAGTTGAGAACTGACTCTGAAGTGAATGCTTATCTCTTATGGCCTTTACTGTATATTCTATAGGTTTTTTTGTTTGTTTGCTTTTCTCTCTTCCCCTTTAGACTGCGCTCAAAAGCGTGAGTGGTACATGATTTATGTCCTGCACTAAGCATAGTACTTGACACATACTAAGTATTCCTTTTTTCATTGATATAGTAGATTTGTGGATGAAGAAATTGATACTCATTAAATTCCTTGTAAAGATTACTAAGGGCAAAAATTATTAGCGTGTGAGGGGATTAAGGCGTATGGAAAACACTTTGAGCTCGATAGAGCTCGCCTTAATCAGTCTTATGTTTAGAATCTTCCTCCTAAATATGGCAGAATAGTTTGAATTTATTTTAGGACAGAACCAATACATGTATGTTAAAAAACTTAATATTCGAATTCATGTCATCGCTAATGTTCTTCCAGGATATATTGCTTGCTGTTTAGTTTCCCCGTACTCTCATCTGTAAACACTTTGGCTTCTGTGATACCACACACTCCTGGTGTCCCTCCTACCTCAGGGGCCCTCTCAGTCTCCTGTGTGGGTTGTGTCCTTGTCCTTCTGCTTTATCAACACCTTCCTCCTAGGTGAATACTTCTGGTTTTGTGACTTTAAAAGTAGATATATAGGTATCTGTATGCTGTTGATTCCCAAATTTATATTTCCAGTCCTGACTCTTGCCTAAACTGCAAATGAATATCAAACAGTTTATTGAACATCCCCCCTTGGATGCTTAATTTTTGCACCTCAAACTTAACATGCCCAAAATAGAAATCTGCATTTCCCTATATGCCACCTCACACTGCTGCTCCTTTCCCTTCTTTCCAGCTGCTCTGGATAAAAATCCAGGCGCCACCCTTGCTTTCTTTCCTTCTTCAGGTCTTACTTTCAGCTCCCAGAGTATGCATCCTGTCAGCCCTTACTCCAGAATATATATCCAGTCTGACTCTTGGCAACATCTCCACCCTAGCGCAAGCCACCATACTTTACAGAGTCAGTAGTGTGATTTCTTTTTAAAGCGTTATATAATATCATCTCAGCTTAAAACACTGCAGTGCTTCTCACTATAATTAGAAGAATAGCCAATTTCCTGGTCATGGCCTATAAAGGACCTCTTGATCTGTGCCTGTCTGCCTCTCCTGCCATGTTGTGTTGGGCGTGCCATTGTCTGCTCCAGGCACGCTGGCATTCTTGGTATTCATGCCAAGCTCAGTCCTGTCTCCAGCTCTTTGCGGTCTTTTTAGGTAGAGTTACTGTTTAGCAGAATGTTAGCTCCATCCAGTGAGTTTTTGGACCACAAATCGCTCTGTAAAAAATGTCCTGGTGATATACAGTGTGTGTTACCTTTTACTCTGAAAATTTCTCTTTTATTTCTCACTGGTTTTCTTTTTGTGTTAAAACTCTAAATCACTAATAGGACCTAAATGAACAAGAAAGAATAAGAAAGAAAAAAAGATTAAGAATGACTAAATAATTTCACTAAGACTGTGCTGACATGTACATATGGTGTGTGTGGTCTGTTAGTGAACTCACACACAGACAGGGTTATGGCTTTGGCTTATGTGACGTTCTCACCTAAAGAGCCCTCATCTAAACAGTCAGAAGTTTGAGGTAAGGAGAGACCCAGCTTCCCCTAGTCTCCTGATCTGTCCCTTTTTCACATTCACTTTTTTTTTCTAAAAAATTTTTTTTATTGTACTTTGGATGAAGGTTTACAGAACAAATAATAGTTTCTCATTAAACGGTTAGTACACATACTGTTTTATGACATTGGTTAACAACCCCACGACATGTCAACACTCTCCCTTCTTGACCTTGGGTTCCCCTATTACCAGCTTTCCTGTCCCCTCTTGCCTTTTAGTCCTTGTCCCTGAGCTGTTGTGCCCCATTATTCTCGTTTTGTTTTATGGGGCTGCCTAGTCTTTGGCTGAACAGTGAACCTCGGACGTGACTTCACTACTGAACTAAAAGGGTGTCTGGGGGCCATACTCTCAGGGTTTCTCCAATCTGTCAGGCCAGTAAGTCTGGTCTTTTTTTGTGAGTTAGAATTTTGTTGTACATTTTTATCCAGCTCTGTCCAGGACCCTCTGTTATGATCCCTGTCAGAGCAGTCAGTGGTGGCAGCCAGGCACCATCTAGTTGTACTCGACTCAGTTTGGTGGAGCCTGTGGTAGTTGTGGTCCATTAGTCCTTTCTACTAATCTTTCCCTGGTGTCTTTGGTTGTCTTCATTCTCTCTTGCTCCCAAAGGGGAGACCAGTGGAGTATCTTAGATGGCTGCTCACATGCTTTTAAGACCCCAGATGCTACTCACCAAGGTAGAATGTAGAACATTTTCTTTATAAACTATGTTATGCCAGTTGAGCTGGATGTTCCCTGAGACCATGGTCCCCACAGCCCTCCACCCAGCAGTTCTGTCCCTCAGGGAGTTTGGGTGTGTCTGTGGAGCTTCCATGACCTTTCCTTGTACAGGTTGTGCTGGCTTCCCCAGTATTGTGTACTGTCTTGGCCTTCACCAAGGTTACCACTTATCTGTTGTCTATTTAGTATTCCCCCCCACCCCTTCCATCCCTCGTAACCATCAAAGATTGTTTCTTTTTGTGTGTAAACCTTTTTTACAGTAGAGCTCTCATACAATATTTATCCTTTTGTGATTGACTTATTTCACCCAGTATAATGTCCTCCAGTAACGAGATGCTTTGCAGATCGATCATTGTTTTGTATCATTGCATAATACTCCATTGTTTCACCTGTTTTCTAAGTGTTGTATGTGTGTTTCCTTTGTGAGAAGAAAACGTAACTAATGGAAATAAACCAAAAACAAAAAAACAGAGGGGAAAGTATTCACTTCCACGTTCACAAAGGGTTTGTGCTTATTAAACTTGCGGTTTCTCTCTAATAAGGCAGCCTTTTGATATTTCTCTAATATTATGGGTGCCTATTAAAGTTATTGAAGACATTACTTTTCCACTTTGTGGGATTTGTTTTTTTTAATATAAAGTGAGTTGTCTCTTGTTAAGGAACATCTATTAAATTATCCCCACATAGCCGTAAATATTCTGATTAGGTCAGTCTCTTCATCATCCTCAGTTTCTCTAAAGTCATTTTATTTTATAGCGTGCAGGAAGTAATAATTTTATATTTTTATTTTAACAGTTCTGTTCTTGACTATAGGAAAATGTTACTATTATTTTTACTTGAAAAATAATTTTCCTCAAAGCACTGAATAGCTAATGTTCTAAAAAAAAACATTTTTTGTTTATTGGTGGTCTAAGAATTAAGAAAAGTCTATGCATTTTTACCTCAGTGTTTGAATTGATTAATTATTTTCAGAATGAGCCCATTTAGCCAGATATTGAATAATAATTAGGAGCTTTTTGTTAAAGGAAAAATATATAAAACTGTGTGCTTAGCTATGTGACTCTTGTTATAATGTCCATTTTATTTCTCTGGCCATTTATTTTATGAACGTTCTTCTAGCTTGATAAAGATGACATGGTATACATGGAAGCATATGATAAATTGTTGGAATCCTGGCTAACTCTGGTCCAAGATGACAAACATTTCCATAAAGGCTTTTTTACCCAGCATGCAGTTCAAGTCTTTAATTCCTATATTCAGTGCCATCTAGCTGCTCCAGATGGCACAAGGAATTTGGTAAGTTTTAAGTCAGATGGTAATTAAAAGTCTATTTAATCACTGACTGATTATACATTGTATAATACTAGAAATTGAGGTATACATTGTATAATACTAGAAATTGAGGTTAGGCTTCCTGAGAAAATTTGTTGAAAGTGTTAGAGAGTAAACACGATCTCCTTTGTCTAAATGAGTTCTTTTTATGTGGGATGTTGCTTGCAGTTACCTTGTTTCTTTTAAGTTATCAGTTCCCACTTATGTCTTTATAGTTGTCAGGCAATGTGAATGACTTCTTGTATCCAAAGAACCATGGTTCTTTAAGATGTCAAATCTTTCAGCGACAGAGGTTAAATTCTCTGGCGTCGGAGGTGGGTTGTGGGTGTGCAGTTAGCTCTCTTTACATATGTGCCTGGTGGGAGTAAATACCCTTTACTTCCGTCTCTTCTGTGTTCTCTCCTCCTCCTTTTCGTAACTAATATGGCTAGCAACATAGTCATCCCTTGACTACTACATTAGGAAATTGATTTCTATCCAGCTCTACTTTTCATTTTCAGTGCTGGAAATTATTACAGAATTATATATATATATAATAGTATACAAATATTATACAATGCAACAAAAACCCATGTTTTATTGAGCAAGTAGTGCACTTCCTAATTCTTTATTTCTTTAATGTAAACAGACTGCCAATGGCGTGGCCTCTCGTGAGGAAGAAGAAATAAGTGAACTTCAAGAAGATGATCGCGACCAGTTTTCTGACCAACTAGCCAGTGTAGGAATGCTAGGAAGAATTGCTGCAGAACACTGTATACCTCTTCTTACAAGGTACAAACAGTCCAAAGAAACCCCATGGAGAAATATTCTATGTTCACAATTCCCTGGAGAGCACTTAAAGTATTTAAAGACTTTAAACAGCCCCACCCCGTATTCCAGCACACTGGAACAAATGGACAGAAACATACTCATGATTGCATTCCTTGGCATATACATTTGGAGCACAGGCACTACAGGATAGATGGCAGAGAGATAATGGAAAACATGGTATGAGAAATGATTTGACCCATATAAATAAAATTTGGAATAACCAGTTTTCAAATTCCCGTTGTAAACCTTGATTGTTTGTAAAGCAATGTTTTAATTCTGTGTTATAAACAGTAAGTCACAATTGCTATAGTGCTGTGAGAATCTAGTTGTGTACTATAATATATATTTTTGTATATGTGTTTTTTCGCTAACAATTTATGTTGTCTAATAAGTGGAGGTTATAAGTTGTTCTAGGTCTTTGATTATTGAATTTTATGAAGCTATTGTTTTTTTCGCCCATTTTAGTTTATTAGAAGAAAGAGTAACAAGGCTCCATGGTCAGTTACAACGACACCAACAGCAATTACTTACTTCACCTGTTTCAGGCGCTATCGCCAACAAAATGCTTGATGATCTGTATGAAGATATTCACTGGCTCATTTTAGTTACAGGTTGGTTGATTTTTCTTTCTTAAAATGTAATGGGTAACTGGGCAGTTTAAACTTTAAAAGAAGCTTTGTATATTAAATATTAAAAACAGTAGTCCATACTTAGTAATGGATGAAATTTGGATACAGCTGTTTGTCACAGATACATTTTTTAAAATGATGGCCCACTTGTATACAGTGCCTTTTGCATACCAAATGTTTTATGTGGATCTCATTTATTTCTCATAGTAGCCCACTGAATTAGTAGAATTACTAGGTATTATTATTATTACTATCTCCATTTTATAAATGAAGAAGCTGAGACTTAGACAGTATAAGAAATTAGCCATGGTCATACTGCTATTAATTTTCAGAGCCAGAATGTAAATTTAGGCAGTCTGACTTTTAGGATCTTCATTCTTAACACCGTACTCTCAGTGTTTCTGTACTTTAAATATAATCAGTAAAAAAACAGAAAAAACTTTTGAAAAAGCAATTCCCAAATATCGACTTTTGATATAGATAATAGTAGAATTCCTATTAACTTTACAAAATATATTACTGAGAATTATTAAAAGGTAGTAGATTAAAAAAACCTACATGTCACTTGGAATTATAAAATTGATGAATAAAACATTTATCCTTTGAACTTTTCTGTACTTTTGAGGATTAATTTTCTGAGAAATAAAGTTCTTCTCATCAAACTTGAAATAACAGATTAGCATTTATGATTTACTTTTACATCGATTTATATGATGTATATAAATCAAATAAAACTGAAAACTTTTATAGTGCAATTTGATAAATATAGATTTGTTAAGTGTTCATTTTTAATTTTTTTTAAACTGAAGGCTACCTCTTAGCTGATGATACTCAGGGAGAGACTCCGCTAATACCTCCAGAAATAATGGAATATTCCATTAAGCATTCATCTGAAGTTGACATTAATACAACACTTCAAATTTTGGGATCTCCAGGAGAAAAGGCTTCTTCCATCCCAGGGTACAACAGAACAGATTCTGTGATTAGGTAATATGAACTCTGTAGCTGTGCGCTTGTAATTTATACTGTTTTGTAAATTCTGAGTTGATGGGTAGATGACTTGAGTGATAGACACGTTGTAAATCTGATATATGAGAGAAAATAAAATTCGGAGAAGCCTTGAAGTACAAAAGGATTGCAACTAAGTATATTTAAGCAGTACCACTCTAGTGAGAATTGATAGCTATATCCAGTACTGAGAAAAACAAGTGTAAAAATTATTCTGAATACAGTGAGACTTTGCACAGTCATTCAGTCTGATGTATACTTATGTACTGTGACCATATTCCTTGTCCATCAGAAAGCAGTACTGATGCATGTGCAAGCACCCTCAATGATGGAAAAAAGAATTTGAGATTTTTAGAAACTAGATGTGAGTTAACAAGTGTTTATTGTTCATAAAAGCTAAAACAACATTTCAGTGCAATCTTTAGGAAAATTATAATTTTTATCTTACATAATGGAAGTACTTTTCCTGCATATGTGAATGTTGACAACGCTGTCGGGAAGTTACAAGATAGCAGAGTGCCTCAGATGAGAGCATTCACTTTAATCTTCCTAAATATTATTAGCAAATTTTTCATTAATTCTTAATAATGAAATTAAGGAAGGGTAAATTGGACTAAATATGCCTCTAAAAGTGGATTTGACGATAGCATTTTAAATTTCAGTGTCTTTAAATTTAGGTTGTAGGCATAGATGTCAGTAATTATAATAACATTTTTTTTTGCCAGTTGCAAAATAAGTAACTCTAGCAGGGTGCTTTCCCCTTCAGTCTTACATTTTCTTTTTTAAGCAAAAATGCCTGGATATCATTTAAACCTATGCAATAGAAAATGATTTTTTTTTTTGAGTTGAAATATTAAGGTGATATCAAGGAAATATTTGGGAATTTATTTCCTTTATTGCATTTTCATGTTTGAAGTAAAATATCAAAATGCTCTATTGACAAAAGTTTTATCTCCTTTTGGGATTACTATAAGCATTTGATATAGTGTCTGGAAATTAATGCTTTTGCTTTGGTTTCGTTCACAGTGAATTTTAATTTCAAAGGCAGTTTATTTCAGGTTGCTGTCACATTATATATTCTGTGTCATATTTCTTGCCTGGGCAGTACCATCAGGAATGCGTTCCTTGTATTTTAAGTGCTTTTTCAATTTTTGCCAGTCCCAGGTATCAGTATGGGAGCAAAACACTGTGGAGTCTGAGAGCACAGACTGTGGAGGGTTGAGGTGAGGGCTGGGACAACACACCCCTGGCCTGAGGATAAACAGTTTTTAGTCCAAAGAATTAATGTGAAATTGATTGGTATATGGGAGAAACACTCCTTGCTTGATTAAAAAAAGTGTTTCACATTTATTGAAAAAGAAATAATCATTAAAACAATTATTAAATACCTACTATGTGCCAGACACTCTTCTAGGGTTGGGATACATCAGTGAACAAAACCAACAAAAATCACTCTCCTTTTAGAGCTCCTTGTGGGGGAGAGGGATAATAAGTAAATTATATAGTAAGTTAGAAAATGGTAAGTGCTGTGGGTAAAGAACTGAGCCAGGTAAGAGTGGGATCAAGAATGCAGGCTTTTGGGATTGTTCATAATTTTAAAGAAGGGGATCCATATAGGCTTTATTTAGAAGGTGACTTTTGAGCAAAGACTTGAGATTGGTAAGGGAGTTGACCATGAAGATATCTGGGAAAAAGCATTCTAAGCAGAGAGAACAGCTAATGAAAAGGCCCTAAGGCATTCCTGGTAGGTTCAGAGAACAGCAAGAATGCCGTTGTGGGTTGAGCAGAGTGAGGTGGAATTTCATAGGTGATGGAGTTAAAGGGGGAAAAGAGGAAATCTGGTAAGGTCTTTAGGCTTTTGTAAGGTATTTGGGTTTTGCTCTGAATGAAGTGGGACACTACTGTAGGGTTTTGAGCAGAATAGTAACTATGTGTAAAAAGGTTACTCTGACTGTTGGATTAAGAGTAAACTATAGGGGGATAAAGGTGAAAGCAGAGAGACCAGATAGGAGGCTAATTAGTCATCCAACAGAAAGATGATGGTGGCCCAGACCAGAGTGATAGCAGTGGAGGCAGTGAGAAATTAAAGCTGTTTGACATACTGTGCTGACTTTTGGTTTATGAAATGAAGATGTCATCTTGATTAATTTGGAAAGTATGGGAAACTTTGAGTGCTATCTGAATATAAAGTGTGTTTAGATAGTATGCTTAAGAAATTGAAGTAGGATTGGCATATCAGTGTTGGGATATCAACAATTAAAAAAATTTTTTGATGTCTTAATCAGTTTTTTCAACTCCCCTCAGTGCCAGGAACTGAGGAAACAATAAAAGTATTATAAAAGTGATATAGGAGCATGTAGGTTCACCTAACCTATTGGAGGGGTGGGTGGGGGTTGGAGCTCTTGGAAGAGATGGCATGTAAACTGATACTTAAAGTATGAATAGGGGTTTGCAAAGTACAGAAGATGGGGAAGAACATTCCAGGCAGGGTCAATAGCATAGGCAAAGGCTTGGAAGGAATAGAAACTTTGATATGACTGGGGTATGTACACAGTAAGGAAGGATGATGGCAGTTTTATGTGAAATGAAGATGGAGAGGTAGATAAGGTGCTATAGGCTGGGCTAATGAGGTCGAAGTAAAAATGGCGAAAAGGATTTGAAGCATGGAAATGAATTAACCAAATTGTTTTAGAACTATGCTGTGGAAGATAGATTTAAAGGATAATAAACAAGTTAGGAAACATTTTCGGTAGTAACAGTGGCAGGGAAGATGGAAAAAGCTGATGGATTTGAAAGGTGTTTGGAGAGAGAACTCTACAGAATTTTGCTGATTGATTGAATATGGTGGTGAGGAGAGAGGAAGGGATCAAGGAAGGCTCCAGGGAAGCCTCACATTTATCTGCCTGAGAATTGTCTATAGTATAATTTTTTTTTCCATTTATCTTTCTCCTACTTTACAAAAGTCATTCTGAATCTTTGTGATGCATTGGCAGCTGTGTAAAAACCTGCAGAATGCCAAATAAAGGGACAGTTCAAAATAGTGTGGTATTGATAGAGTGAATGGCTGAATAACAGTAAGTTATTTATAAGTCAGAATGTCTTCAATCCTTTGCATTAAATAAAATGGTAGATGGACTTAAGTCGTCCGTTGATTATTAAAATTTTTTGTTAGATAATTCCAGTGATTTTTGACATATAACATGGAAGAAGTTCAAATAACTGGATGACACAGCTACTTTTAAATACCTTGTATTTATTTATGTGAACAAGTTTTCTCTGTGCTTTTGTCTGTTAGAATGAAAAATAGGAATCAAATTATACTCAACCTTGTCTCATGCTAGCAATACATAATATTTATACACAGATATGTGAACTAATTGGAAAAAATAAATCACTGCTACATTAATCTCATGAAGAGATACATAACATTTTATTTTTATGCTTAATAATTTATTTAAATCTGTATTATGTTTTGCTCAGCTGTGTACTAATAAGTATCATAACAATAACTCAGTCCAGAAGATATGTTTAAATGTTTGGAGTCTTAACGTCATTGGAAATTTTAAAAAAATTATATTTCAATATATATACATATATTTGTTTCAAAGAAATATATTGTATAATCAGTAAAATATGTAACATTCAAAATACATTATGATAATATTCTTCGGGGGGGGAAATGGAATTGAAATAAAAATTTAAGGAGAAGAAGAAACAATGTAAACATTCTGTTAAAAAAAGCTGTTTATATATTTTTCAAATAGATGATGGTGGGTATCAAAACCCTAGGTTGATTAAATTCCATGCATAAATGTAAAGGATTAATGTAACCATTTTATTTCAAATTTCATTTAAGCTGGAAATTATACTATCTAAAATGGTTTAATCTTATGCGACAAAATTGATATATTAATAACTCAAATGTATTGTGAAGTAGTTGGGTTTTTTTTTGTGCACATACCCTCTAAAATAATTTATAAAAGTTTGCAGACTAGTAGTATAGGGAGTGTACACTGAAAAAAGAAGAGGTTCTGGGGTAGAATCCTAAAATCCATCTGATTTAAATAAGGAAGAGGAAGAGGGGGCTGTAATAAAGACTGCAAAGAAACAAGCAAATACATTAGTGACATCCTGGAAGTGTGGTGCCAGGGGAGCTGAAGGAAAGAAATTATTTCACAATTGAAGTATTAAATATTTCTGAGATACTGAGTTGGATAAAGAACATGTTCTAAGTTGGATAAAGAACATGTTCGTAAGATTCAGTTACAAGGAGATAATTTCAGTCTTTGTGAGAGCAATGAGGAAAGTTATGGAAGCCAAACTTCAGGTGATTAGAATCCAGGTCTTGGCATTGTATTCATAACATGATGTTATTTAACAGTTTCTTTCAGTTACATCATTTGTAACTTTACTTTTTGACTAAAGTTAAATATATATATATATATCACCTCTGATTATGTATGCCCCACCCCCATGCATAGCCCCAGAACAGATTTTTTTTATTATCTGCAGTGTTAAGCTATGTTATTGAAATCCCACAGCCATGTGAATTGTATAGTGTAGGGAAGGAAATAACTATGTGCCTTGAAATAAGTATGTGCACTTATACAAGAATTATTCTAGCAAGATTTTTATTTAAAAATACCATTAAGAATCAGGTTTGTTAGAAGTAGGACTATCCGATTTAGAGACAAGGATCGATATTCAGAATATTCTGAATAAGTCAATTCCCTGGTCCTACGCTATTTTAACATGACCATGATATAAAAACAAACAGTACCAGCCATGGGAGTTTTAAGTAGTGATGGAGTGCTCAAAGAATTTAGTATGTACTCTGAAAACATGTAATTTTATGTATTCTTCCATTCTCTATCTGAAAATTCCCTGTAGACATTAATACTGAATCACATGGAATTACAGCTTCAACACAGAATGTTTCTAGTGTTGTCCTAGTGTTCTAGTCTAGTCCTTTTCTTTGTCTTATCTCCTGTTTCCTGAAAGGTCAGAAACAAAATGGGTCATCTGTCTACAACCCTGTTGGTGAAATTTTCCAAATATAGCCTAGCCTAAAACCAGAGAGGTGGGGTGGGGGGTGGGGAATGGACTTGAAAAAATACATATGGTTAGACAATCAATCAATAAATAAGCAAATTCTGTTTTATACCTACAGGCTGTTATCTGCCATTCTAAGGGTTTCAGAAGTTGAATCTCGGGCAATAAGAGCAGATCTAACTCATCTACTAAGCCCTCAAATGGGGAAAGATATTGTTTGGTTTCTAAAACGCTGGGCAAAGACTTATCTCCTGGTGGATGAAAAACTGTATGATCAGGTCAGAATGTAAAACTGTTTAACTTCATTTGGATTTATGATGATGGCCAACTATAGAAGTGGGGACATTTTTCTTGGTGATTTTTCTCATCACAGTGTAACTTTTTAAGAACTGAAACATCATCCACATTGAAGAGAACTGTATGAATGAAATACTTTTTTAATAACTTTCTTAGGGAGTCCCTGCATGGCGCAAATGGTTAAGTGCTCGAGGACTAGCCAAAAGGTTGGTTGTTTGAACCTGCTCAGTGGTGCCTTGGAAGACAGGCCTGGCATCTGCTTCCAAAAGGTTACAGCCTTAAAAACCCCATGGAGCAGTTCTTAGGCTGAACGTGTGGGGTTGCCATGAGTCGGAATTGACTTGACGGCAACTAATGACAAGAAATTTTCTGAGCGTATTATTTGATTCAGTTTATTTTAACCAATATTAAATTACAGATTACAGTTCGGGAATGGGTTTATTTATGTTCTTTGTATTCAGTGTAAATATCATGTTGGTGTGTTAATAACACAAAAATAATCAAAGTTGATAGGAAAATCATATTGGAAATTGTGAGTGGGTTGAGGATGTCTTTTTGGATTTATGGAAATGAGTATATTTATAAAATTGGTGTTAAATAAGCAGTACTTCAGAATAAGATGCTAATTTCAGTTTGCTTTTTTTATGGATTTTTTTTCAGCTGATTCATCTTTATGACCTTAAAAATGTGTTTTCTCTCTTAAGATAAGTCTGCCATTCAGTACAGCATTTGGAGCAGATACCGAGGGTTCTCAGTGGATTATTGGCTACCTCTTACAAAAAGTTATCAGTAACCTCTCCGTGTGGAGTAGTGAGCAGGACCTTGCAAGTGACACTGTACAGTTGCTTGTGACTTTGGTGGAAAGAAGAGAAAGGTAAGCAAATTGTCAGCGGCAGGGGGGTGTGTGGGTCTGGGTGTGTGGGTGTGGGTGTGGGTGTGTGTGGTGTGTGTGGTGTGTGTGTGTGTACTTTTTCAACTGGCAAACAGTTACATGGTCCTAAGTCCAGATAGACCCTAGATTTTTGGAACAGCATGTTTTGAAAATCCCTATCACGCTATTCTTATACATGCAAATGGTACTTTCCCATGGAACCAGGTTACAGCTGAGGATTACAGTAACTGTTCAGATATCGGGCGTCAGAGAACCTTGAGTAATACGTAAGATTTATTTAGTAATTTATATTCTAAAAAGCACTTTCATACAGAATATTCTCATTTTATTTCTTAGCCATCCTATCAGTATTTTCCCCATTTAACGAGAAAAACTGATATTTAAACTAATGTTCCAAAGTAAAATTTTTAGTGCTTTCTACAAGAAATCCTGGAAATGTTTTCATATTTCTTAGTATATAGGTATATCATCATCATCATCATCATTACTGTTGTTGTTGGTTACTATTTATTGAATTCTTATACTTTGCTAGGTACTGTGAACTTCATATGTAGTATCTCATTTAGTCATCACATCTGTCTCATGCCTGTGATTTAGGGCTGTTGTTATTAGTCTTGTTATTCCAATTCTACCGATAAGGGATCTGATGATTAAGAGAGATTAAATGAGTTTTATATGTCAGACAACTAGTGGGATTCAAACACAAGTCTGTTTGATTCCAAGGTCTATACTAAGTTTATTGTTCTATGTGTTAAAAAATTAATTGAATTCATTTACCTTCAGTTTTTGTTAGTAGACATATAATGTAGGTAATAAATCTTATGTCTTGTGATTTCCACGTACAGGGCAAACTTAGTAATTCAGTGTGAAAACTGGTGGAATTTAGCTAAGCAGTTTGCAAGACGAAGCCCACCTCTTAATTTCTTGTCAAGTCCTGTGCAGAGAACACTGATGAAGGCTCTAGTTTTAGGAGGTTTTGCACACATGGACACAGAAACCAAACAACAGTATTGGACAGAGGTAACAGTTCCCTCTATTTTGATTGTACCTTCTTATATAACTCTGTAGATGCTCTATCTCTGTGTTGCCATAAAATATGGAGATGTAAATGTTTTAGGAATAGCTTTTCTACTATTTTTCTTTCCTAATGAATAGGTTGAAGCTTATCATTTTTAAATCAGTTATCATGTAATTTGTCCATGCCTGCTTATATGAGGAGATTGAATATTATCAAGTGTTCTGCAAATTTAGGCATATTTTCCCCCAACTTGTCATTACACTGATACTGTAATTCCTTTCCTCAGATAAGAGCCTGAAATGGCATATCCATTAATAAGGAGATGCAGATTAACATGGACACACTGCCTTATAGAATAAGCTTTAAATTGGGGACCAAGAGTTACCAGTGTATGTAGCTTGCCAGCCTGTTGTCCTTGTGACTGGAGTGCTTTTAAGTGTTGGGGACGCAGGGCACAGTAACAGAATTAGGCAATCTTGTGTGACTTAAGCACCAGGGGAAAACCAGGCTATCAGTTTCTAGTTTAAACAATTATCAGATGATCAGCTCTAAATAGAATTAAGACATTGTCATCATGAATGTGAGTACTCACCTTTATTCCCAGGGCAGGACTGATTGTCTGAAGGTATGTTCTATGCCAGGAGTAGTTGGGGAGATTACAAAACAGACAAGAGGTTTGTGTTGGGCTTGACCCTGGACAGCAGAGATTGGAAGGGCTAACCATTTGGGAAGAGGTGTGGAGGAGAGGGTGAGTTGTCAGAATGGCACTAAGGAAATAGTGTTCAGTGGTGTCATTTATATACCAAAAAAAACTCAAACCCACTGCTGTCGAGTCGATTCTGACTCATAGCGACCCTACAGGACAGAGTAGAACTGTCCCATAGAGTTTCCAAGAAGAGGCTGGTGGATTCGAACTGCCGACCTTTTGGTTAGCAGCCATAGCTATTAACTGCTACGCCGCCACGGTTTCCTCATCTGTATAGTGTATGTCATTTACTTGTGTATGTTAGAAGTTAGGATGATCCTCAAAATGGGAATTGTAAAGTTGGGTTCACATATTCTTTGTTTTCTGTGCTTGTCCTCCCTCCAACAATTAGATATTTCAAAAAGTGACTATTTATCCAAGTTGAGAAAATAAACCATGTGAATTGACCTTTTATAATATTTATGCTGTATTTTTGCAGGTTCTTCAACCACTTCAGCAGCGTTTCTTAAGAGTGATAAATCAAGAAAACTTTCAGCAGATGTGTCAGCAAGAGGAAGTCAAGCAGGAAATCACTGCCACATTGGAGGCGCTTTGTGGCATTGCTGAGGCTACCCAGATTGACAATGTAGCAATCCTTTTTAATTTTCTAATGGACTTCCTTACCAACTGCATTGGATTGATGGAAGTTTATAAAAATACCCCAGAGACTGTAAATCTCATAATAGAAGTTTTTGTTGAAGTTGCACATAAACAAATATGCTATCTTGGAGAGGTAAGCACATTCTAAGTTTATCCTTTTAGGATTAAAAAATTTTAAAGCTATAATAAAATAATAGATACTTCAAATGTAATGAATATTATCTTAAATCCATATATTTATGCCTCTAAAAGGTTTTTAGAAAAGACTATTTTAAAAAGAACTCATAACTCAGAGGAAGGCGCACTGAATGAATAAAAATTCTCACCCTAAAAAGTATGTTAAAAATCAGTAATTTCTCTGGGCTATTATGTTATTCAGTCAAGCTCATTTAAGTGAGGAATATTTGATTAAACAAATGGATTCTGGTAGAAAATTTTAGAACTTCAAGCCTTAAACTTTTTAATTGCAATGTGTATCTTTATTTCATAAATCAGATGAATGTTTAGTTACAGTAAATTCTCATGTATTTAGTAAGAAAAAGTTATTTTCTTTGCCCCATTAAAAAGTTGCTTTAAAACAGCCTTAAAGAAATATATTTGTACTTGTTAGCCATTTAGCATATATCTTGTCCCAAACCATTTACTCTAGGTTCCTGAATTGTAAATTTTTTTTTTTTTTTTTTTTGCTAGATCAGAGGAACCTGCCCAAAAGTAAGGTTATATTTTATAAATATGCATTAATGATTCGGCAGGCCAGTTGGCATTTGTTCTGATGTTTAAGACCACTCTTGGGTACTTAATAAATAAATATTACACAAGAAGGTGAATGGCAGAAGTAAAGAATCTTACTGTCTCACCTAGTGTTTATTATCAAGTGAACAAAAATTGAATGTCAGATTTTATTGTTGGCAAACGGCTAATATTTTAAATATAACAGTAATCTTAATATATGCTTTTTCCTTATTATTAATCTCTTAATATAGTTTAAAATAAATATTAGAGCTGCTATTGGAATTCAGAGTAAATTTATCTAGGTTATATTTTTAAATTTCTTGAATATCTCTATTTCCCAACTAGGCTCTACCTAGTAGCATAATTTATGTATACTCTCTTACAGTCCAAAGCTATGAACTTATATGAAGCCTGCCTTACTTTGTTGCAAGTATATTCTAAGAATAATTTAGGGCGGCAAAGAATAGATGTTACAGCAGAGGAAGAACAATACCAAGACCTGCTTCTCATTATGGAACTTCTTACTAATCTTCTATCAAAAGAATTCATAGATTTCAGTGATACAGGTAGGATGTAGTGTGTTGTTACTGCCTTTTTTTTTTTTTTCCTTAATTAAAGCAAAGTAATGTTTTCTTTAAGTGAAATGCCATGAAAAAATTCAATGTGCAAAATAGATGAAAGTCGGTATCTTTGGTTGAAGTGAGGGTGGGAACCAGCAGCCCTTCCATCTTGGCTCTCCTCTCATAAGAGTAATACGAGTAATGGCTTCCATTTGTTGAGCTTTTTTGAAATGCTCTGTTCATAGCTGTCAGAGTGGTATGAAATAGATGCCATTGTTATATTCGTTTTATAAATGAGGAAACTGAAACACAGGTTAAGTAACTTGCCCACAGATTTCACTAGTGCGTTGCAGGACTGGGATTCAGATCCTGGTAGATGGCTCTAGAGGCCACACTCTTCACAGTAATGCTCTGTTGACTAGTCATTCCTCCAGGTCCTCTGAGGTGGCCACTCCAGAAAACCCGAGCGCTTCACAGAGTGTGGCGTGGGAATGCCGTTGGGGTGGGAAGCACGGAACTCAGGATTGACAGGCCATACTTTAAAGGCCTAGCCCAGTGGCTCACCGACAGTGTGACCTTGGGAAAGTCACTTAGTCCACCAGCCTTTATTTACTTGTAAAATGGGTATGATAATAAATACCTTTTAACACGTTTTAAGGATCAGCCATAAAGATCTTTGGTGCCTAGCATAGTGCCTGACACCTATTAGGTGAAAGGTAGCTGTTGTTATAGGCAAGAACCTAATTGTAATTAAAACCTCATTTATTTGTATAGTTTTCCTTCACCTCCCTCTTATGCCACTGCCAATCTTGCCTTAAAGCAGAGCTTGTTTTATAAGGAAAAAATGAATCATATCTAGAGTTTCCTTTCATATTTTGTGCAAGTATTTGTGGTAGGAGACACTTTTGACTTCTTCTTTTAAGATTCTCTTTCTAAGTTGTGTGCTGTAACATCTCACTTTACTCATTACTCCCAATGCTTGTCATTGTTCTTTCTGTTTATTTTATTGATTTATTTTCCTTGTTCACTGACAAACAGTTTTCTTAATGTCTGCCTTGTGGTAGGCACTGTCAGACTCACAGTCTAAAAGGTCTGCTGTCCTTTGTAATTAACTAGGGGTGCTTGGGTGAAAAAATTTGGAAAACACTGTTCTACACTTTCCCTCAGGGAATTCATTCTGTACCAAAACCTCAGCTGCCACTGTGCCTCCAGGCCCGCTCTCTCATCCTAGTGTCAGTTCCATGTTTTCTGATGCCTTCAGGTCAGCGCTTCTGACTCTGGAGTTCTTATACTTTCCTTGTCAGAATTCTTAACTTTTTCTAGATCGTTATGTCCCTTTAAAATCTAAAGTAGTTATAGACCCTTTCCCTAGAAAAGTGTACATTAAACCAACTCACAGAGTTTCACATTAATTTTTAATTGTTAGTATTAGTTGGTTGACAGACTCTTGGAAAGTCTTCTATAAACTTCCTAGGGGTGTAAAGACCCCAGGTTAAGGACTCTGTGCCCAGAGGAATCTGTGTTAAGACCCAGAGCTAGAACATACATACTCTTAGATGATTTACTATTACAGTTATCCCTATAGATCATAAATCAGCACGTTTCAGATTTCTCTTTTCTAGAAATAGTATCATTTTCTGGTTCCCTATTCTATGCCTGAAACAGCCCCTATCCTAGACCTATTAATGCTAGAAATCCATATTTTAATGAAGTTTCTCTAGATGTTTTTAGCGTACTATTGGATCTGAAAAGTATGCTATGACTATTTTCAGAATAATTTTCCTAAAATAATAATTTTATCATGTTTCACACCTACTTAAATACTATAGGAGATCGATCCCAGCACTGGCCACTTTATAATAAGAGGAAGGAGATGAGGCAGTTTACATTTCCAGAATATTCTGTAATCCTTTTAAGAAGAGAGGGATTATATTAGATGTAGCATGTAGAGACAGGATAGTGGTGACCCTCACCAGTGTGTAGAGTCTATACTCTTCCTCCTCCCTTTAAGCCCTCTTTGGGAAATCAGCACTGCCTACCTGGTTCCTCATCACACCTGGATGAAAGATCCTTCCCTAAAGACAGTCTTCCTGAGATTTCTTTTGTGTACTATACTTTCTATACAACTTACCCACCCAGTATCACTGGAGGCTATACCACCAATAAAGGATTAGCCATTATTATTTTTAGAAAAATTTTTGACCTGGAAATCTTCCAGGGATAATAAAGGTGACATATTTTGGAGAACTAATATTGAAAGATGGTTGTTCAGTGGTAGAATTCTCCCCCTCCTTGCAGGAGACTCAGGTTCGATTCCCAGCCATTGCTCCTCTTGTGCAGGCACCACCCATCTGTCAGCAGAAGCTTGTGTGTTGCTATGATGCTGAACAGGTTTCAGTGGAACCTGTAGACCAAAACAGACTAAGGAGAAGGGCCTGGTGATCTCCTTCTGAAAATCAGCCTATGAAAACCCTATAGAGTAGGACTGGGCATTCATTATGCATGGGGGCCACTATGAGTTGGGGACCAACTTGACACGAGCTAACAACAATATTAAAAGAGATGGGCAACCATTAAAGGCAGCTGGAGGGAAAGAAGGCCCTCTAAACCTCCTGGGTTTATGGTTTAAGCTATATTTCCATCTGCCTGCCATTCTAAAAACAAACTGTAGAATAAACCATAACATTAAGCAGTTGAAGGGGAGATTTTCAAAATAAAAGCAGGAAGAAAATTGAAATAATAAAAAGTTAAGAAAAGAAATTGAAGCTAAAAAGCTCAGGGTTGAAAAAACAAGATAAGAGTAGGAAGACTAAAATAAGCGTAGAAAGGGTTGAAATTTAGAAGAAACAAAAATTAAAACAAAATAGAAAATGATAAGGAAACAAAGCATTAGTTGAAAAATGGTAAAAGGAAAGTAATATTTTAAAGCAATTTCTAGACTAAAATAAAGTGAGAAAATAAAATATTATAAAATTAACATGATAGATGGGGCATTAAAAACATAACTGAAAATAGGCATCTGACATTGTTCTTTCACTTGGTCTTTTGAGCTCCCTTCCTAATTCTTAGCAAGCAGATAAGAGAGCAGAGCCCTGCAAGTCTCCTGGCCTCTCCTGACCCTGAGAGATGCATCTTGTTAGCAGAGAGACCTGAGCTGTTAGGGCAGCCTTCAGACTAGTCTTCCAGGGCTGGTTCCTATCAGCTGGAATCCAGGGTCTCCAATCTGATTTTCCGAAAAAGTTTGCTGACCCCTGCTTTAGATTCTTCCAGCTAGAACTGAGACTACTGAGAAGTTCAGAATTAGACTGAAAAAGTAGTTTTTAGATAACAAGTATTTTTTCCCCACTTTATCTTTTTTTTTATCATTAAAAAGTAATATACTCATAATAGAAAAATTTGAAAGTATAGGGACAGAGAAAAATGACTATAACATTATCCAGAGTCAACTGTAAATTGCCTTTTTGTAATTTCCTTTTTGGTTATGTTTATGCATTTTTCTTTGAGATCATATTGCAAATATTTTATATTCTGCCTTTTTGATTAACATTAGCCTTTTCCTTCTCATTGAGGTTTTTCATGATCTTTGTAATAGTTGCATGATACTCCAGTTTTGGAATTTAATCTGTTTCCTTAACATCGGGTATCTGGAATATCTTCAGTTTTTGCTCTCGTAAATAGTGATGCAGTGATCACTTCTGTAGTCAAGTCTTTGAATTTCTGATTATATCCTTAGTAGATGTAATGCTCAAAAGGCATGAGTATTTTAGGGCTCTTAATGAATTGTTTTTGCTGGTAACCATCACACTATATCCTCACCAGAAGTGAAATGTTATTTAAAAATCATCTTTAGTGTAATGTATCAGAAGTAGTATCTTTTAAAAATTTGCATCTGCCAATATAATGCAGTCCCAATCCAAATTCCAACAGCAATCTTTAATGAGATGGGAAAACTAATCACCAACTTTACATGGAAAGGGAAGAGGCCCCAGATAAGTAACGCATCATTGAAGAAGAAGAAGAAAGTAGGAGGCTTCACATTACCTGATCTCAGAATCTACTATACAGCCACAGTAGTCAAAACAGCCTGGTACAATGACAGACACATAGACCAATGGAACAGAATTTAGAACCCTGACATAAATCCATCCATGTATGGACAGCTGATCTTCGAGAGAGGGCCCAAGTCCATTAAATGCAAAAGAGACAGTCTCTTCAACAGTTGGTGCTGGCAAAACTGGGTGTTGATCTGTGAAAAAATGAAATAGGACCCATACCTCACACCATACACAAAAACTAACTCAAAATGGATCAAAGACCTAAATAGAAAACCTAAAAGTGTAAAGATCATGGAGGAAAAATTATGGACAATGCTAGAGGCCCTGATATATGGCATAAATGGAATATCAAACATAACTAAAAATACACAGCAGAAGATGAACAAGTTAAATGGGGCTTCCTAAAAATTAAACACTTATGCTCAACAAAAAGACTTCTCCAAAAGAGTAAAAACAGAACCTACAGATTGGGAAAAAATTTTGGCTATGATATATCCGACAAGGGTCTAATCTCTAAACACACCTCAACAATAAAAAGGTAAACAATCCAGTTAAGAAACGGGCAAAGGATATGAACAGACACTTCACCAAAGAAGACATTCAGGCAGCCAACATATGAAGAAATGCTTGTGATCATTAACAGATGCAGTTCAAAACTACAATGAGATACCATCTCACCCCAACATTAATGGCACTAATCAAAAAAAACAGCAAATAACAAATGTTGGAGAGGTTATTGGGAGATTGAAACTCTTCCGTACTGCTGATGGGAATGTAAAATGGTATAACCACTATGGAAAATGGTATGGGGCTTCCTCAAAAAGCTAGAAATAGAAATACCATATGATCCAGCAATCCCACTCCTAGCTGTATACCCTAAAGAAATAAGAGCTATGACACAAGTAATACCTATACACACCCATGTTCATTGCAGCATTATTCACAATAGCAAAAAGAAGGAAACAACCTAAGTGCCCATCAACAGATGAATGGATTAACAAACTGTGGTACATACAGTGGAATACTATGCAACTATAAAAAATAATGACAAATCGGTAAAACATCTTAGAACATGGATGAATCTGGAGGACGTTATGTTGAGTGAAATAAGTCAATCACAAAAGGGCAAATATTGTATGAAACAACTATTATAAAGGTCTACACACAGGGGGGAAAAAAAATTCTTTGATGGTTGCCAGGGATGGGAGGGGGAGAGAGGGAAAATTACCAAACAGAAGACACGTTAATATTGCTGAAGGGAAAGGCAATATACAATATGCGGGAAGTCGTACAACATGATCAAGGCAAGAGAGGACACTGAGAAGAATGCCAGAATGAAGGGCAACTATAGCAATTACTGGAAACCTGGTGACATAGTGACTGAGAGCTAGGGCTGCTAACCAAAAGGTCAGCAGTTCAAATCCACCAGGCACTCCTTGGAAACCATATAGGGCAGTTCTACTCTGTCCTGTAGGGTTGCTATGAGTCAGAATCAACTCGATGGCAAGAAGTTTGGTTTTTTTTTTCTTTTTTGGTTATGGCAATTGCTATAGCATAGACAGTCTTACAACAATAATATTAACAAACAATTTACAAATGAATACATAGGTAGGTAGATATGCCAAGAGGTGTGGGAGGGTGTAAGGGAGCACACCTGCTGGCAGATACCAGTTTGGTGGTAGATATTTCTACATACATAACTGTAGGTGCTCCTCATATATTGATATAGACAATAGAGCATGCAAGGGGCACAGTCAGGGAAACCTCTTAGCATAACCAACCGCCTCGTGGGATAAAGTTCCTAGGCTTGAAGGCAAAGGACCATAGACTTGGGGACAGCTATGTGAATTGGCACAACATAGTTTATAAAGACAATGTTCCGCTTCCTACTTTGGTGAGTAGCATCTGGGGTCTTAAAAGCTTGTGAGTGGCCATCTAAGATACAAGTATTGGTCTTTTCCTGTCTGGTGCAAAGGAGAGTGAAGAAAACCAAAGACTCAAGGGAGCAATTAGTCCTGACAATTAATGGACCAAATGAACCACAGCCTACATGACCTCAAGACTAGAAGCACTAGATGGTGCCCAGCTACCACTGCTGACCACTCTGGTTGGGATCACAACAAAGGATTTTGCTTGTGGATTTCCTCATTTACCACTTTAGGTCTTAGGATTCTTCTTAATTTATATGCATTCTTATGTGTTCTTTTGTCAACATTGATTTTTTAAACTAATTTCTTTCTCTGTTATGTAACATTTTAATTTCTATGTTTTCCCCTATTCCTTTTAAGCTTAGAAAGATCCCACACACCTAAGAGATCAAATAAATATCCCTGCAGAGGTTATTTATCTCATAGTATGGCCAGTGTGTCAATAGACTGTATCTTGCTTTGCAAATGTTGACTTAGCATTCATTTTTCTTCATTTATTTCTAGACCTTCACCTGCCCCCACACCTCCGGTCCTGTTGCATCATGTGCACAGAGCCCCTGAAAAATAAAATACAAAGGGATGAAACAGAGCAAGAATTATCTGAATTCTTTAATATGCACTAATGGATTTATTTTGGCTTTAAGGCTTGAATTTATTTTCACTTTCATTAAGAGTAGAGTATATCAACTTTAGGAGTTTATTGATTTTACAACTATAGGACTGCATTCTTTTGATTTTAATAGATGAAGTGTTTAGAGGACATGAACCAGGTCAAGCAGCAAACAGATCTGTATCAGCAGCTGATGTTGTTTTATATGGAGTCAACCTAATTCTGCCCTTGATGTCACAAGACCTTTTGAAGGTAATTAAAGAAAGTAAATGTGAACATTAAAACTATATGTGCTTGAAGTTTAAAGACATTTTAGACTAGAGTATACCTCTTGTTTAATTAAAGAGTTGTATCTGTTAAGTGAAGGAGCCTTCATGGTGCAGTGGTTAAGCACTTGGCTGCTAACCGAAAGGTCGGCAGATCGAATCTACCAGCTACTCCACAGGAGATAGATGTGACAATCTGCTTCTGTAAAGATTTACACCTTGGAAACCCTATGGGCAGTTCTTCTCTGTCCTGTAGGGTCGGTATGAGTCAGAATCAACTTGACAGCAACGGGTTTGGTTTTTTTGGTTTTATCTCTTGAATACGTATAAAAATATATGTTTGAGTTTCTTTTACCAAAAAAATTCTGTCCTTTTACAAACTGAGTCCTAATGTTAGCTGTTTTGGCCCCTTCCTCATTTGTCATTAAGCAAATAACTTACATGTTTAGGTGTTTTTCTGATACTTCTTGAGTATCATTCTCAGATTGAGGAATTGAGCAAAGGAAGGCATTTTCCAAGCCACTCCATGTACAAATGGAGTTGTAAGAAGATAAAGCCTAATACAGTTTTTGAACTTATGCACATTCTAACTACATCGTGCCTTGCTTCACCAGTCTGTATTGAGGGGGTGGTGGTGGCAATGCTGCCCCTTTATCGTAGGGGGGAGGGAATGTTTTACCATGAGTTGTCATAGGGGGAGAAAGGACGGTGACAAGGACATGGAGAGGAAGAGGAAAGCATGTGTGTCTGTCTCTATCTGTGTATGTGTATCTGTGTGCTCACGTGCATGAAATGGAGGGAGAGAGAGAGCTAGAGGAGCATTTGGAAGTAGAGTGTAACAAGAAGAAGAATGCTGTTATATTTCCAGGCTAGCAGGAGATAGCCTTGAGAAGTGTCTCTGACTATGGGAAAGGATACTGAAGACCTGTGAGCTAAGTGTTCAGGCAGGAACCAGTAGGATGAGGACATTTAGTAAACTCTGTGTATTGATTTGCTCTTAGGGCTTGTTTGTTTGATGGTTGGTTTGTTTCTCATCAAATACACCATTAAGTATTTAGATATGTATTTTCTTAAAGACAATTAAACTGTAGATTACCTACTCTTACCTCAGTTGTCTAGAGCTATCCAACCAGAAAGTTGTTTTTGGAAGTGTGAAGGACTGAACACTCTGCTTTGTGTGTAGTCTTAACAGTTTGTATCACCGTCTTATTTTTCAACATGCTTGAATGGAAGTACATTTATAAAGGGTTTTATTACCAGGTTATTTAATAATTGCAGAATTGACTACCCTGTTTACTTTCTTAAGACAAACACTGAAGTCTGGAATTGGCTGTAGCTTTTATTAACTATCCAGAAGATAATTGTTTCTTCTGTATATTATCTTCTTTCATATTAGTTACTGAAATACTTCTTGTATTTTACCTTACTTTTACAATTAGATGTTCATTCGTGTTTTCTCTCTTGTACATGTTCTAAAGAAACCATTTTACTTAGAAGCTTCTCAGTTATTTATTTTATTGCATTAATGAAAATAAAACTTAGGTACTATTAAGCATCTAAATGTTTATTTCTGTTTCAGTTTCCAACTCTTTGTAATCAGTACTACAAATTAATCACATTTATCTGTGAGATATTTCCTGAAAAAATACCACAGCTTCCTGAAGATCTGTTTAAAAGTCTGATGTACTCCCTAGAACTAGGAATGACATCATATCCTTTAAATGAACATCACTTGTCACTTGGTGGAAAAATCTTACCTGAAGAAAAGTTTTTAAAATTTGAGTTTTTGTTTCTTCTTTTGTGGTTCAGTTTTATTTCTTCAAAAAGATGTCGTATCTATAGCTGTTCTAATCCTGTGTTACTTTTGTTTTGCCATCTTTGGTTAGTTTGCCGCATTCTGTCCTCCTTTAACTGATTCTAGAAGCATTTGGCCCCTGGTCCCAGTGGCACTGCTTCATTAAGGGGCCCAGTGAATCATGTCACATTCTGTTGCTGGCTTTTAATTAGCTGTATGTATCATAAGCAGAAACTAGAAATCACCAGTCCTGGACCCAAAACAGTTAAAAACATTTGAAACATACTTCGCATTAGTATACTCATTTATCTGTATTCACAGTCATCCATTTGATAAAAGATATAACTTTCTGATCTTTTATAAACCAAGTTTATCCAGTCTGGTTTGTTCTTTGACCTTTGTGATCAGAATGAGTTCAGAGGTTTGCCAGCTTTGCCTGGAGGCCTTGACGCCGTTAGCTGAACAGTGTGCAAAAGCACAAGAAACAGATTCGCCGCTTTTTCTAGCAACACGACACTTTCTTAAGGTAAGATGTTTGGGTGATGTTGGTGGGAATGTAAAATGGTACAAGCACTTTGGAAATAGATTCGGCACTTCCTTAAAAAAGCTAGAAGTAGAAGTACCATATGATCCAGCAATCCCACTCTTTGGAATATATCCTAGAGAAATAAGTGCCGTCACACAAACAGATATATACACACCCATGTTCATTGCAGCACTGTTCACGATAGCAGAAAGATGGAAACAACCTAGATGCCAATCATTGGACAAAGGGATAAACAAATTACGGTATATAAGACCACTATCATAAGAACTCAAGAAAAGTTTAAACACAGAGGACAACATTCTTTGATGGTTACAAAGGTGGGGAGGGAGGGAGAGGGTTATTCACTAACTAGATAGTAGACAAGAATTATCTTAGGTGAAGGGAAGGATAGCACACACTACAGGGGAAGTCAGCACAACTGGACTAAACCGAAGCTAAGAAGTTTTCCTGAATACAACCAAACATTTCAAGTGACAGAGTAACAGGGGTGGGGTTCTGGGGACCATGCTTTTAGGGGACATCTAGGTCAACTGGCATATCAAAGTTTATTAAGAAAATGTTCTGCATCCCACTTTGGTGAGTGGCGTCTGGGGTCTTAAAAGCTAGCGAGTGGCCATCTAAGATGCATCAATTGGTCCCAACCCACCTGGAGTAAACGAGAATGAAGAACACCAAAGTCACAAGGATAGTATTAGCCCAAGAGACAGAAAGGGCCACATAAACCAGAGACTGCATCATCCTGAGACCAGAAGAACTGGATGGTGTCTGGCTTACCACCAGTGACTGCCCTGACAGGGAACACAACAGAGAGTCCCTGATGGAGCATGAGAAAAGTGGGGTGCAAAATTCAAATTCTAGTAAAAAGACCAGACTTAATAGTCTGACTGAGACTGGAGGATCCCCAGAAGTCATGGCCCCCAGACTCTCTGTCAACCCAGAACTAAAACCATTCCCGAGGCAAACTCTTCAGACAAAGATTAGAGTGGACTATGAGACATAAAATGATACTCGTGAAGGGTGTGCTCCTTAGGTCAGGTAGGTACATGAGATTAAATGGGCAGCTCCTGTCCGGAGGCGAGATGAGAAGGCAGAGAGGGTCAGGAGCTGGTTGAATGGACACGGAGAATCCGCAGTAGAAAGGAGGAGCGTGCTGTCACAGTATAGGGAGAGCAATTAGGGTCCCATTAGCAATGTATGTATAAATTTTTGTATGAGAGACTAACCTGAATTGGAAACTTTCACTTAAAGTACAACAATTTTAAAAAAAGATGTTTGGGTGACGTGGCAAGATCATCTGCTATGACAAGTACAGTCAATATATGTAATTTTTCTTTCAAATGAGGAAATTGAATACAGGAGGAAATAGTTAATTTCTGTTCACTGTGTTTTTCTGAAGATAAACTTCATGGATACATTTTTCTCATCCACTTTTATTTTGAATTCTTGATGTGGTAAATATAATGGGGAATTTGATAATTTGATTATTCAGTATGCCTCGGCAAGTAATACCATCTGTAAGTTATCCTTTTAGAACTGTTTCTTTAATTACAGATTGATTTAATAAATGAGAATAACTCCCACCCCTCTCTTTCAAAGTAGAGATGGGCTTGGGGGATATATGATCATCATTTATTCCTATTAAGAAGTCTTTTTATAATTTCAGCTGGTTTTTGATATGCTGGTTTTGCAAAAGCATAATACCGAGATGACAACTGCAGCAGGTGAAGCGTTCTACACACTAGTGTGCTTGCATCAGGTAGTGTGGAACAGATCTTTTCATGTGACTGTCCTGATTGAGCATTAAAAAGAGATTGTTCAGACAAATGGTCAATACCTCCAGTTCTTACAGGATCTATGGCTCAGTGCTTCAGTTCTATTTCAGTGAGGTAGTATTTAGCTTCCTTGTTAACTCTAACTTGTTTAAAGTTTATCTGACAAGCTATTTGTCAGTTAATAAGCTTTTATTTTCCCTTTTCCACTATTGTGAACTGTCCTTCGCAATGCTGGGGATGATCACTGCCCCAAACCTTGCCCTTAAGCAGCTGTGCTAGGAATCAGGAATATAAACATGAATGATTCATGGACACGTTTTCTGTTCTGTTGTCTTACAAGTTTTATAAAGCAGATAAAGATGAGTAAGCCGAGACTAGGATGAGACTGCCTTCAAAAAGTATGGGAAGTTGAAAGAAAACAGTATCTTACTTTGTTTTGTTGAGCCTTTAGAAAGACTGAAGCCCTCACTGATTTGAAGTTGATGTGAAAGAAGAAAAGTAATCCTGTCTCACATCTCCCTTCCCTATTCCAATAGAATAGGTACCCATCAAGTGTATGAGAAGAATCCTGTTTGGGTCATCACCTACACTGATTTCACATCACCCTCGCCCATGCAACGTAAATGCGTCCCAGTGTGACCAGTTGATTGACTAGAGGAGCTTTGGCATTTTTCATGCTACCAGATGGACTGACACTTAGGGTTTGATTTTATTTCCATTTCTAAACAAAGATAGGGTTTTAGGGCTGTCTATCCATACTACTAAAAAAGTCCCTTCCTACCGACATCTTACATCATCTGCATCCCAAGCTGAAGGTGCTCTGGGACTTTCATCTCTTGCTCTCAACTATAAAGATATGCCATCTGCAGGTGGTACCCACTCTTTCAGGTCTGTTACCTTTCTCTATCATTTGATTTCTTTGATGCTTACTAGGAAGGTAGATTTAATGTCTCCATGTATATAATCCAGTCCATTCTGATTGCCATTTAAAAAACAACAACAAACATATTTATACACTTACGAAAGAGAATGGGGACTTGGGAATGGCTGGGATGATACCTTCCTGGTCTGGCCCCAGAAGCATACCATTTCTTGTGAATAGGGAAATGATTCAAGATTATTCTTAGTCCCCTGTCAGCAGGCCTGTCCCTTGGATAGGGCAGTTAGGGCAGTCACCCTGGCTTCAGACTTGTGGGTAAGGGTTTGGGGTGCTGTACCTTACTGTTCTTTTCCAACTGTGATTAACATTTGGTTTTACCATTTTGGTCTATAATGGTTTCCCAAAAAGCTAATGAAAAATAACGATAGCCCAGCTTTTTTTCCCTCTCCACAATAAGAGAGGTTATCATTGAAAGCTGGCCCAGTTGAGTTTCCCTTAACCCCACACCCACTCCCCTGAATAAAGCTTTATTATGGAGGGTATTTAAAATACCTCCCCTCTCCCCATTCTTGTATGTATTAAGGTCCTTTCCCTGCCCTTTCTCAAGAGCTGCTGGGTACAGAGCTGATTTGGAGCTACAACTGTACAGTCATCCAAAGAGCTCTGCTTCTTTGAGAAAGGACAGAAACATACACCTCCCACGATGCCACCTCCTGCCCGACTCCTGCCTGTATTTGTGAGGATCTTCTATCCTCAGAACTGTGTTGACAAGATGTCTCTATAAACCTCCAGAAAACGGTTGAAAGTCATGTTGCAGGTGTAGGTTATGTATAAAATGCCATAAATGAATAATGTACTTTGAAACACAGAAGAGGCAACACAAGTCGTTGATCATGTGGGCTCTGGAGCCAAACTACCTGGATTCTTGCTTACAAGCCGTGTGATCTTGGCTATAGTACTTCATCTCACTATGTGTCAAAGCCCTCATCTGTAAAACAGGAATATAAATAGTACCTACTTCATAGCATTGTTGTACATATTAAATGAAGTAATTCATGTAAAAGTTTGGCACAGTGCCTAGACTATAGTAAACATTCAATAAGTGTTAGCTATTAAAAAGAGTTGTCAGACTCTGCCTTCTAGGATCCACAGTCCAGTAACCCATATGATCTGCTTGTGTGATATTCTGAGGAAGATATGTTTTTATTTATACATTATCTCTTCAATAGGCTGAATATTCTGAGTTGGTTGAAACACTACTGTCAAGTCAGCAAGACCCAGTTATTTACCAGAGATTAGCTGATGCCTTCAGCAAGCTTACTGCAAGCAGCACTCCCCCAACGCTGGATCGGAAGCAGAAGATGGCCTTTCTAAAGAGTTTAGAAGAATTTATGGCAAATGTTGGTGGCCTCCTTTGTGTAAAATAAATAACAAAACTTTATGCCTAAATTAGATCCTTCCTGCAAAGTGCACTGAATTGCCGAACGTTGACTTGAGTCTTGTTCCTGTTCCTCAGTTCTTTGACCATTTTGGATTTTGGAGAGCCTGAAAGTTTGGTATCTGATACAGCGAAACAGGAGAGGTCAACTTTGAATCAGCTTCTGCTGTTACATGTTAGCCACAATCTGTCATATATGTGTTGTAGATTTTGAACAGTGATTTAAAATTTTCAAAATGAAATTCCATATATGTGCAAACAGATATGGGCACCACAAAATACATACTCAGTGCCTTTTCCCCTTTTATCAAAATATAAGTGGCTAGCCAAAGTTTAGAAATTTTGTTATTAAACATTAGATGGATACATGGTAAGCCAGTGTTTCTCAGAATGTTGTCCATGTATCACCTGCATCACTTAGGAGCTGGTGGGAAAGGCAGATTCTTGGGCCCAAGCCTAGACATTCAGAGTCAGAATTTCTGATTGTTGGTCATTTTAATAAGCTCCCTACCGCCACCCCAAAAGTTTTGAAAATCAATGCAAAAGACACTGAAAACTCTTTTAAGAGGTTTTTTGCTTTCAAACTTTTTTCTTCCCTTTGATGATTAAGTTTGTGATTCAGCAGGAAGAAAAAACAGCACATGCGCTCTCTTATAACATCAACATGGTGTCGCGGGTTTTGTGTAACACAGGTCTCTGTGTCATACTCTGATGCCTGAACTTGAGGAAATTACGTGTATGTTTTTGGTCTGCAAAGAGAACTTTAGGAATGGTAGCCATTTCATTGCCTTAATTTCAAAGAGGAAAATAAAAAAAAAGATTTGTTTTAGTAAAAAATCAAGTCTTGATGCTTCAGAGTTTGTTTAGGGTGTTAGCTGCTATGAACCTGTTGCCCCTTTTGATCATGAAGTATTTATGTGGGTTAATAAGTGAAAGAAAGGCTCATTCATGTGTAGTCTAACTTTGAGTGTGTTTCTATCCAGCCACATAGCCCCTGGCTAATAATCTCTGAATGGCTTGCTTAAGCAATAATTATTTTAAAGGATATAAATTACTGATTCATACAGTCTATTGTACATTGGGGCAACAGGGATAATAATTATGCTAGAGTGGGTGTTATACTCAATCCATAGGAGCTACACAAATTTTATTTAAGAGATTAAAAAGTTTATTTTAGATCCTCTAGTTCGTTTTTTTCTAATCAGGATTTTTGTACTGCTGCCATGCTCCCTTTAATTCTGTATTCCAGCTTCAGTTATGGAAATGAAGACTCATTTTATAATCTGCAGGCATATGAAAAACTGCAATACTAGAATCACACCACAATGACAGATAGAGGGCTCTGTGGTGCAGGTGTGCTTTGGTTCGAGGAGTGGGTTTTCTCTTTCTGCTATGTTCTTGACACCTATATGCAAAACCATCCTTCGAATATATTTTTATATCTGAATTGCATATAGCATATACATCTTTACATGGGATGCTGTGTAAAACTTTGTATAACTGTGCTATTTCAAAGCAGTTATAGTTAACAAAAATGGAGCATCTAAATTACATCCAACCTCTGCATGTGACATTAGATGTGAGTGAATGCAAAGCACAGGGCCATAACTTTTGAAGAACATTTCTCTCTTAATCACACTTCAGGTAGAACAAAAAGGTCTTACAAGACTGCTAGGGGGAGAAAACTAATATCACACTTTATGAAGTATACAATTTTTTTTTTTTTGTATTTTAAAAAATACTTTGAACAATGCATTTATTTTTAGATTTCTTTTGTTTTTCCTTTAAAGAACATGAAGTCATGGGTAGCAGTAATTACTCTGTTTTGATTGTTCTTGGTATTTGCTTCCCAGCTCCCTCAGGCTTTCTCCATAGCTGTGAGTCACATGTATCCATGTGTGTGATAGGAGGCCCTTTGCCAAAGGGTACTGAGATAGGCAACTGGCTGGGTAGGTCTACTGGCCATGACACTATAATCAAGTTACTAGTAAACAACGACGAGTGGGAAGGGAATGCCTCGATAAATAAACAGGCATCTGTATTTAATCATTTTTATCCAGGTGGAAATTCATTTGCTAAATTTGCCCAGAAAATACAGTAGTGCAATTTTATTAGACCAGTTTTAATTAAAACACCACTTACTTCAGATTGGACCAAATAATACTTAAGAGATTGCCAGAATGTTGACTAGTGGCAGACTGGAGGGAAAAGGCCACCATCTTTTTTAGGTAATGGGGATGCCAGGTAATTGCAACGGCTAGGCTGTTTTCAGGGTGTTTGTGTATACGCTTGCCTGATTGGATATTTGTTTAGTTTGGGTCTTGTTTCATTTTGTTCAGTTTTGTCTTTTGTTATGTTTATTAGCTTTTTAGAGGGTTTTCCCCCCTTTTTAAATGCTGTTGGCCCAGTGGTTGTCAAGAACACTGGCTTAATTCTAATAAACTGATTTTACTATTAAGTTAATACTATTAAATTGTTGAAATATTTTTAAAGACAAAAACATTATTTGTGCCCTATTTGATTTTTAGATTGTGTTTTATAAAATCTTTGCTGTTCATATAGCATCTTTTAACCTCTAGTTTTCAATTCATTCTTTGATTTCTCGTTTTATTTTCCTTGGCCCATTTGTTTCCCAAGGTACAATCTCTGAGGGGTCCCAAGGCAAAATCACTAAGGACATTGTAGTTTTATAATTTATATTCATGTAATAGCAACATGTAACTATGTTATTATGGCTCTGTTAAAAAAAGCCTGGTTTGCTGTCATGGTCCTTCTGCTGGCTGGATGGCTACCTCGCTAACTTAACTTCTTGACAGTGTATTTGACAGTGTCCTTTTCAACAGTTAATCAGATCTTTCTCCTTTGCTGTATCTTAAGCTATTGGGAAGACAGTGGCATGTTAACATCACTGCATTAAGTTTTTGTCTGGTATAAAGTGTGATCTTTTATGTAAAAAAAAAAAAAAAAAGTTGCAGTATTTTTCTAACTAATTTTAAGACTTTAATCATATTTCATTATAAACCGTGTATCTATAGTACATTACTCTGTTCAGATAGGTAGTTACTACCTTTTTTTCATAATTTTTCATTTCAAAACCAAATATCTATATGACCTCCCCACATTCAATATTATTTAACAACCCCCTTACTTTGTCTTTTACCTAAAATGTCTTTACATTTCTAGTATCTATTAATACTTGTATAGACCCCTCAAGTATTAAAGGGAACAAGCTGTAAATGTCAAGGATTTCAGGTTTGAGTATCCCAGTATATGGTGTCAGCTAACCTTTAAAATATTATTTTTCGTTACTACAGTTTACCTGTGTTTAGCTTGCCACCTCTGTCATTTGAGGTGGATGTCATTAGACATTACTAAGTTGTCTCTGATGGATGGGTATTGTTACTAGTTCCTGAGTAAAATAGTCACTCTCGGGTCAAAAGGAACCTCTATACTTAGGATTTCTTTAAATCAGAGAAGGAACTGATCTGGATATGAGTTGTTAACATTATAATTTTTTCGTGAATTCTCCTACAGACAACATAATGATTTGAGGATATAATGTTTTCAATTATTTTTAAATGTAAGTAGATTTTCTTTAGCTTGGTAACTATGTTTTGAAAACACTGCATTTAAAATTGTCTTAAACATTGATTTTCTAAAATTTAAAATTGTCTACATTAGGCATATTGTTGAGATTGAGTTGATTTGAAGTACTATGGTTAAAGTTGAACTTTAAACATTTTAATTTAGATGTAAGATACATGAAATATGCCTGATTGATTATAATGAGAACCCATCACTTATTTAGCCAAAGAATATATTTGGTTCAGGTAAAGATACAAACTTAATAATGGGCGTCCATTCTGTTTTAAAGAGGATGGACGCAGGATTCTGTTACTGGCCTCTAGCTCTCCACACGCAAGTCTTTCTAAAGACTGAAATACTCCAAACTGGCTATGCAGAATTGGGAAATATGGCTTGCACATTAGACTCCTCGGGCTCACACCACAGACCATTTGACCACTCATCCATTGTGGTTTTTCTTCACTTATTCCAAGACCCTCCCAGAAGTAGAGGGGTTTTGCTTTCTCTTTTTCAATCTGCATTCTTGGCCCTCTCAGCTATTAGAAGCTGTCATGTACTAAGAGCTCATTTTCCTAGTCTGAAATTAAATACGGCACCTGCACTATGTACTTAATGGGGATCTGGCCTAAGTTGTGTTCTTGGTACAGGCTTCCTGGTGTGGTGTCTTTTACCACGTAGAATTACGACAAATTCCAAATACTGGGTATTGTGATTTGGTTCTCTGTACAAAGAAAGAAGCTCCATGAGGTGACTTTGTGGTTTAATGGTCACAAAATGTTAGCACTGCTACTATTCAGCACGTGTAAAATTTTTTAAATTTATAAATATTAAAATTTTAAACTTACACTAAGACTTTTCAGTTTTTTAAAGAGACCCAGGGACAAGTATACTGTTTAAATATTTACCTCTACTGAACATAATTATGAAGGTATAAAGTTGCATTTGATTTTTCAAAAGATGCTGCAATATGATTTTAAGAAGTAAATCAAGGTTATGTATTGAGCTAGTAACAAGCTGAATATCAAGTTTATAAAATTTTATTTGTATTTTTTAAATCCATGAATGGGAGTTAAAATGTGTCTTTTCACTAAATATTTTTTATTACATTTTTGTTTTGACCATGTGTGATTTGTTCATGGGTATTTAGCTAGACTCTTTTATGAAACTTACTGAAATGGTGCTAGTTTGTTTACCATCATAGGATGATTGACACAGGTAACCTGACACAGTCATTAAAAAAACAGGAAATGAATCTGTATAACTAAAGACTTGCATTACTTTGTAGGACAAGCCCCAACTCTAACAGAATACCCAGTACTCAGAAAGAAAATAAAAATTTTGTTTATATTCTGTAATATTTAGTATGTGTAATTTTACCTCAGCCAACAGTCTTAGGAACAATTTCAGCTATTAGCTAAATCACTGGATTTGGGACACATTTGTAGTAAACATTTTTAGTAGCTTGAGTCATTCTTTTTGGCCTTTTAGGTGAAGTGAAGAATCACCATTCTGTTACATGCTAGACAGACTTTCCACACTTTGCCCAATCTTAAATTTTATGAACATACAGTCTATGTTTTTAAGGAAGATGCAGTTTGAAAATATATTCAAAATTGATTTTGCCTTGAATTCACTGATATGTACTGTTATTTCTTAGGTTATATTCAGACTTAATTCCACTTAAAAGGATGGAGAAAGAAAAATTAGATTGTTTACAAGGACTAGATAAGAGTGTGTTTCCAGTATTTGTTTCTTCTCTCATAACTAAGGGTGGGACCTTAGGCACAGGCCAACCATCCGTCATTTGAGAGAGCCATAAATGATTTTAAAGGTCCTAAATACAAAAATCCATTACTGCTTTTTAAAGACATCTTTAAGATAATGGTACGCTCAAAAAATAGCATAGGTTTATATTGAGTGGCTTATGAATAATGGGAGCCCCGGTGGCACAGTGGTTAAGAGCTCAGGCTGCCAACCAAAAGGTTGGCGGTTGAAATCCACCTGCCGCTCCTTGGAAATGCTATGGGGCAGTTCTACTCTGTCCTATAGGGTCACTATGAGTCAGAATCGACTCAATGGCAATGGGTTAGTTTTTATGATGATTTTGGTGTGATTAGAATATGGGTTTGTTTTGTTTTTAAGCATAGGATCCCAGTCTGCATTCTGTGTAATCTCAAGTGGCAGTTCAGTTATGACTTTCTTTTAAAACTTAAGTAGAAGCAAAGACTGTATTTGATGAAATTATTGAGAAAATTCTTTGCTTGGAAATTCCATACAGCACTTAATAGAAGCATACTGCTTCAGTCCTAGCACATAAATCAACATCCTATTGTGCACCTTCCACGTAAATTATTTTTACTATCCAGCATGAGAGTGAACTAAGTCATTGATGTGTTTCCCAGAGTTGATGAAGAACATGAAACAGAGTTTAAAGAAATATTCTTATTCCCGTATTAGCAGTTTTTGATACTTTGCTAGGTTAGTCTTGCAGATATTCCTTTCAGTCAGCCCAAAATCTTAGGCAGTAATCGTCACTTGCACACCTCCTCGTAACTGTGTTGCCCTAGATGATCTTCTCTGAGGACTGATCTGGTAAAGCTATCTGAAAAGGTAGAGTACAAGACAGAGGCAGAGAGACCTAGATTTAGTTCCTAGCTTGGCCACTTAGGATCTACATGAATTTCCATGGATCTATCATCTATATTGCGGGATCATAAATGCTGTTATTCCCCAAGAAAATTTTTAAAAACAGTGATGTATAAAATACACGTTCAATAAATTCCATTATATTTAAAGATTTTTTTTCTTAAGAACACGTTTTGTTTCATTAGATAAATGTGTCCTAACATGAAGTCTAAGGCCTGATGATCATGAATTTTTAATTCTGTAATATATTCATATTGACAATGTGATCTTAACAGATCTAGTCACAGCCACCATAGTGGTACTGTGATAGAGTTCAGCACACTATTTACTTTTTGTTTTAAATGAGAAAATAGGTTTATTTAAATCCAGTTTCGATTTATGCTGAATATGTTCCTGTTCCTACAACAACAAAAATTTCCTGTGATGCCCAAAGTTTCATACATCACTACTTCTTCATAACTTAGTGTTAATCTAGTTTGTGAGAAATAAAATGGGTTTCTTTACTGTGAATGTAAAGGTTTTAATACACTAATGCTTATTGTGAAGCTCTGAAAAGTCTTAAGCAGATTTTCCTCAGTTTACAGTCTTTCTCAAAGCATCTTATGGGACTGAATTCTACGGAACACGCTTCGGACAATTTCTGAGTAATTTGGTGATAAAGCACTCAAACAATGGAAGAAAAATACCTGTGTTCATTGTAGCTATAGGTAATACAGTAGTTTCTGTTTTTGTTTTTTAAATAGGAAAACTGAGTCTAGTTTCATCTTTATCTTAAAGAGATCTTTCCAGAGTGACTTCTGTTTCTTTTTTTGCATTTGCACCATTTCTACAAGGAATTTGAGTTTTAGATATGAAGTGTAGCAAGATGAACAAAAGTCCTTTCTGAATATGCAAAAGTAATTCTTGAATTGAAATTAATTTGAAAGCATCTTTCAAGTCCAGTTTAACTTGACAAGTAACTTCCCCTTTATTTCAATGAGAATTACTTTGCCTTTGGTATTTAAAATTTTGATATGTGAAAACCATTACGATGCAAATGTTTCACTAGGAAAATATTAATCTTCATGTATTACTGACATGCTGTCTGAGGAATCAGCACTGTTGATAGAGGTATAAAGATCTGAACTTCCTGACATCTTTTGGTCACGTTTAATTATAAAAATACTGTATAGTAAGTGATACACATTACATGAAGGTAACTATTGTGTCTCACATGCTTTTAAAGCAATTGAAGTTCTGAAAGCTTAAATCTGTTTCAAACCAAAAACTATTTAACATAAACTTTTATGTTGAATTACAAGCCAAGGCAGTCTCCTATGTATGGAACACTATGGAAACACTACCTCTGTAAAAAAAAAATATATATTGCCATAAAAGTTGGTTATTACTTGTTTCTTGGTTCATGTTAATTGATTTTTTTTTTTACGTTTGTTTGATATACTTTCTTTCCTGTTCCTTTGCTAAATTACACCTGGTTTTGAAATATTTGGTTTAATGGACTTGTCATCAGTTTGAAATAATCAAAGTCAAATGAAGTATGCTTTGCTATAGACCTGAAAACAATACTTGAAATAGAAATAGAAATTATGGTACACTCAAAGTTATAAACCCAGTGTTTCATGAACCACTGAATCATACCAGATCATACCAGTTGGTAGCTGGCCAATTCATTTATAACCACCTTATACGAGAAAGAATTTAAAGCTGATCAGAATATATAAAACTTAGCAAGATAATAGATAAAGAAAATGGAAAGGAACATAATATAAACTGTTTTGGGGGATGGGAAATACATTACTTACGATTTGGCAACTGCCAAGGTGGAAGAGACCTCTTTTAATAACTGCCTGTTACGTGCTCGGTACTATGCTAGACGTTTTAATATATTTTGCTCAGTGTACTCTAACCTGTTAAGGCTCTAAAGTCAGCTGACCAAAAAGTATCTTACATTTCAGTTCATTTTGATAAAGAATGTTGCTGCGTCACAATTAGTTACCTGCCAAATTAGTAGCTGGTTTTATTTCCGTGTGAAGACACCTGTCTACAACATCCGTTTCACACACCAATTAGATCTTGCACTCTTTTACACCTTTTGTATTCTTCACAGCAAACCCCAGAATGAAAAATGCTTACTGATAAACTTAGATTAACCACAGTAAACTTAGAAAGGCAATGATCCTGAGAAAGAAATCTGATTAAGGTGCACGGTTTTTTCTTTCAGGTTTTAAGTTTCTTCTCTAATCCTGTTAGTGTTATAAAGCCTCAATTTAATATCTTAGTTAACGTCTCCAAGGGAATAGAAGAGACAGACGAAGTCTTGAGCAACTGAAAACCTACATTTGCTCTCGGTGCTATTTTGCTATAGCATTTGGGTTTCTTAAAATGCGCTTAACTTGAAGTAAATCTAATTAAAACCTTACTTTTTTTTTTTTCATTGCCATCATCCTTGGAAGTAACTGATCAGATGGAAAAATGTGCGGGAACTCCGAGCAACTCAGTCCTTGAGAACGAGGTAAACGCCCGGGTCGAAATGCCAGTGGAAAACTGCACTTCCGGCCTTCCACACTTACACGGGCAAGGACCTCTGCGCATGCGCGCGCGGGTGTAGCTGGCCCCGCCCACGTCCCTTCCCCTCCGTTGGGTGCGACTGCGCACACCGGGCGGTGAGTGCTCGCGCTGTGGTGGGTGTCGGGGCGTCTCCTGCTCAGGGGATTTAGGTTGGTTTTGGGTCTTTGTTCGTTGTTTCCCTCTTCCCTTTCCCAGCGGATTGAGGGAGTGGGGGCGGGGGAATGGCAGACGAGCTGAAGCCGAGCGGGGGGCCTGGTTCCTGGTTGGCGCGGGGAGGTTGGGTGCTGAGGGGAGCATTAACCTTCCAGGCCCGGCGGCACGTGGAGAACCCCGGACCGGGTCTTGCCCCTTATTTACGTTCGATGAACGAGGCTGAGCAGTGTGCAGACAGGCGTCTCTGTTTATTACTGGACGACAGTCATTCTCTCAGCAACTGTTAATTGAGGGCAGTTGAGGCAGGTACTGTGCTAAATCAAAAAAAAAACAAAAAAAAACACCAAACCCTTGCCGTCGAGTTGATTACTACTCATAGCGACCCTATAGAATAAAGTGAAACGTCCGCATAGGGTTTCGAAGGAGCGGCTGGTAGATTTGAACTGCTGACCTTTTGGTTAGCAGCTATAGCTTTTAGCCACTGTGCCACTAGGGCTCCACCAGATATTTTAGCGCATGAAATTGAGAAATCTAAAAAACATACGATTTAGGTCTTCATCATGAGTAAAATTAAGTGTGTTGGTTTGTCACAAACTGAATAGATTACATTTTCAGACTCTTGTAACTAAGTCCAGAAAAAACTAGCTGCTTATCGCGCTTAATATAAGGTTCTTAAAATCACTAACATACAGAGTTAACCTGAAATCCCTGAAGCTTTTCTAGGAGCCAGGGGCCCCTAGCACTGTGCTAGGGCCGGGAATAAAGTTGGATACAGGAGGCCTCGGCTCTCCCAGCAGACAGACAAGGAAATGAGGAATTTGGCCGTGCAAGAGCCGCGTCTGGTGCAGTGTAAGTGCTGTGATTCCAGAAGTACAGCAGGGATATAGTAGGGAACCTACCCGGGTTTGGGGATGTATATCAGACCAGAAGGGT